TCTGTCCGACCACAGGTTTTGTTAACGTCTTTGGTGGTGCTAGGAGGAATGGGTCTCCTGGGGGTGAGGACAACACGGTCACTTCTGAAGCCACAGCGGCTTGCTCTTGTGCACTGTCAGTGTCTCGACGCTAGCCCTGAGCTAGAGGAAGCCGACGGGTGAAGCATACTGTCTTCCCTTGGAGCCCTGCTGTCAGGCAACAACTGTCCATCAGCCTCATCCTCACAGTGCAGAATGAAAGAGACCCCCAGTGGCCTGAGCTGAGCATGGGCAGAGTCTAGGAAAAGGCTCCTACCATCCCCACCCGCCGCCCTGCTGTTCTAGGGAGCAGCAAGCATCGGGAGTTGGTTCCAGCACAGGCTGGTGGGTGGGATGAGGACAGGAAGGGGAACAATAGAAAGACACCTGTGAAAAGCTTCTCTATGGCATGGTCAGCCTTCTGTTCTCGGAACAAATACCTAACACAATCACCTTACAAAGGGAAGGTTAACTTTGACACAGTTTACCAGGTTTCAGTCAGTGATGGTGGTTTTGGGTCAAGGGACATTGATGTGTATCTCTCAAGGAGTCCTGGAACTCACTATGTAGAGAGGGCTGGTCTCACACTCCAAGATCCATCTGCATCCTGAGGGCTGGGTTTAAAGACATGCACCAACATGCCCTGCTTATAAATCCCCTTTTATGAAATGTTACATAATATATAGTAATAGATATACATATTCTATTGATCCTGTTCCTCTAGAGCCCACATCTGACACTGTAGGTCACAGCCCCAGACTGGGTTACTTAACTGAATGTGAGGGCTAAAAAGTTATTTGGCAAGAGTAAAAGGCTTCTGAATGCAAAATGACCCAAAATTAATTTGAAATCAAAACTCAATGAACCTGGGATTTTTTTCTGGCAGCATGCATCCATGTTGCATCCATGGCTTGCTTCACTGTAGACTTGGATCTGAACATACAACACACACATTTTACATTACACATGCCATCACATCACAAAAAAAATTCGGGTAACACTGACAGAAACACCCTGGCTCAAATTCTAGCCTATTATATGTTATGAATTGCAGTATTTTCAATATATTTGCAAAGCTTTCTGCTTTTATAGAAGCAAAACAGGTTTTTTTAGGGGAGGATGTTTTGAGACAGGGTTTTTCTGTGTGTAGCTCTGACTGTCCTAGAACTCACTTTGTGGACCAAGCTAGATAGACTTGAACTCACAGAGCTCTGGGCTCTGCCTCCCGCGTGCTGGGATTAAAGGCATTTGCAACCACTGCCCAGCAACAAAACAGTTTAATTATAGAAAACACGGAATTTTAGTATTTCCCCATAGCCATTCCCCAGCATGGATCAAATTATTGTATTTGTTAGTGTATGATTTTTAAAATTGCTGTTTGTGCTGCTGACTTTCATAAAGAGTATTAAATGAAGCCAGGAATAATGTGGCACAGGCCTTTAATTCCAGCACTCAAGAGGCAGAAGTAGATGGATCTCTGTGAGTTTGAGGTCAGCCTTATCTACAAAGTGATTTTGGGACAGCCAGGGGTACATAGTTGAGACCCTGTCTCAAAAAATTGTCAAGTGAATTTTGGCTTGGGATTAGAATAGATTCCAGCAATTTTTGAAATGGTCCTACACATACCTTACCAAGTTGTACTGTGTATCTATCTGGAGTGATGTTCTCAGCATTGATGATTATAAAATCAATATACCAAATCTGAAAACCATTGAAGATGCTCTACTGCCTGCAATGTCAAATATTCAGCTAAGATTTAATTTTTTATGTAAAGACAATCAAGCACATAGATCTCATTAGTGTGCAAATTTGCTTTTACCTTTAACAAATGGTAAAAATTATATGCATACCAAAAATCATTTTATAGTATTTTATTAGTTATTAACAGTAAACATTTGATTTGTGTAACTATTTTATACAGCTACATACTTAGAGTCATGTAAAAAATTTCTCGAGCAAAAAGGAGTTTAAGAAGTTATAAAGTGGGGGCTGGAGAGATGGCTCAGTGGTTAAGAGCATTGCCTGCTCTTCCAAAGGTCCTGAGTTCAATTCCCAGCAACCACGTGGTAGCTCACAACCATCTATCTGTAATGAGGTCTGGTCCCCTCTTCTGGCCTGCAGACATATACACAGACAGAATGTTGTGTGCATAATAAATAAATAAATATTTTAAAAAGAGAAGTCATAAAGTTTAGGAAGTCAAGAGTTTAAGAAGTCTTGCTCTAGAGAGCCCTGACTAACACAGTCCATGAACAATGTGCCCCATTGCTTTAGGGCCTGTGATAAGGGAATACGTCATGGCAGGGGCAAGAGTGGGGCAAAACTGCTCATCCTCTGGATGGGGAGTGAAAGAGAAGAGGGAGGGGCCAGGCACCATTATCCTCTTTAAGGTCATGGAAGACTTCACCATGCCCCACCTCCTAAATATGCTAACACTAGGGACCAAGGCTTTCATATAGAGGCTTTTGGGTAGCATTCCAGATCTGAACTGGAGCAGAGTTAAGTTTTATCCTCAGAGGGATGAGGAGTTATCTACCGCTTTCAGCAGGGAACACTACCAAATCTAGCTTCAGAATAGCAGTTGCTAGCACTGGGGATGATGGTTGATGGGCAGAACCCTGGTGGCAAAGTCTGAACCAGGGCAGAGGAAGGACATTTCAAATCAATTCAGAAAGTAGAAAGCCCTGAGATTACGGTTGGGGTTGCCTGTGAATTCATAGCTCAGTGAATGAGATGTGTCTTTATCCAGGACAGAAACTTTGGCAAAGGAAAATGGAGGAACGCTGACTATATCTGAAAGGGAAGTAAGTGACCATGGTACAGTCCGTCCAATAGCAGCTGTGCATTCTATGCAGCAGACTCAAGAAGAGAGAGGTGCAGGAACAGGCAGATCATCTACCCAGCATCCTAGTTAGGGTTACTGTTGCTGTGATGAACCACCATAACCAAAAGCAACTTGGAGAGGAAAGGGTTGATTTGGCTGACACTTCCACATTATAGAAGTCAGGGCAGAAACTCAAACAGGGCCAGAACCTGGAGGCAGGAGCTGATGCAGAGGCCATAGTGTGTGTGTGTGTGTGTGTGTGTGTGTGTGTGTGTGTGTGTGTGTGCATGCTTTTTGACTTGCTCTTCAAGGCTTGCTTAGCTTGCTTTTAGAATCCAGGACCACCAGCCCAGGGATGGCCCACGCGCTATTGGCAGGGTCCTCCCACATAAACCACCAGTTTAGAAAATGTCCTATAGTCTTGCTTACAGGTCGATATTAAGAAGACATTTTCTCAAGTAAGGCTCCCTCCTCCTTGATAACTCTAGCTTATGTCAAGTTGACATAAAACTAGACAGCACACCAAGTCCTCCTGAGAGCAGACGAAGGAATGTATTTATACCAACACTAGCAGTTACTGAACAGGTAGCATGCCAAGAGCGGTTCTGTGTACTTCAGAATGCGTGGGCTTATTGCACCACACCTCAGCCCTTTGAAGTAAATGAGAGGGGCTGGAGAGATGGCTCTGTGGTTAAGGGAACTGGTTGTTCTTCCAGAGGACCTGGGTTTGCTTCCCAGTGCCCACAGGGTGGCCCACAACCATCTATAACTCCAGTTCCAGGGTATCTGATGCCCTCTTTAGGCACACATGCGGTGCACAGACAAACATGCAGGCAAAACATCCAAATACAAACAATAAAATAAAGTGAAGTAGACCTTAGTTGATACAAGGAAGAAAATGAGGTACAGAAAGAGTTAAGCGCCTGGCCTAAAGTCATACTGCCTGTCAAAGACACCCTGAGCATTGGTGAAGTTCTGCTCTCGTAACCTCTGTGAGCACAGCTGTCGGAAGAGCAGAGCTGGAAGGAATCGAGTGCTAGAGAAGGCTGCTGGAGAAATGTGGGGGTAGGTGGGAAAACCTTGTGAAACTAGGAAACCGTCGGGTGGGAGCGATCTCGGAGAAGCCTGAATAGCATCTGTGGCTGCATCAGAGCCAAGAAGAGGGGTGAGCAGGAGGTTCATGGGTTTAGACAACCAGGTGCCTGCCAGGGCCTCCCACTGAGGGAAGCTCCTGGGATGACTGGGGAAGAAGGCCAGACCACAGGAAACCAAAGCTAGAATGAGGCTGGAGGAAAGGAAAGCGATGTGTGTCTCTGTTCTAGAGGGAGTCCGCTGTGAATGGGAAGGCACTAACAGGGCAGTGACTTGTGGGCAGCGCAGGATTGGGACTTGATTCGTTTGAAAGGGGGCGTCTCGCAGGGTTGGTAGGCTTGAAGCAAGGGAAGTGGTGGAAAGAAAGAATTAGTAGACTCTCCCGAAGCAGGAGGGTTGGCGAGAAAGCAAAAGGGGTCTTTCCCTTCAGCCGAGAGGAGCAGGGCACAGGGGCCTGGGGGGGGGGGGCGGCGGCAGGAGCTGGGGGAAGGAAGGAGGGGAAAGGGAAGGCGGAATGAACTATAGCCGGAAACCAACAGAATGCCCAGGAAAAAGTGGGTAGGAGCTGGGATGGTTAACCTCTGTGCCAGAGGTGGAATTCAGATGAGGGCTGCTAGCCCCTGTGAAGTGTTCAAAGGACCTGCTACTGAGGACCCTAGGCAGACAGCAGATATGAGGGGCTGGGTTGCAGGCCAGAGACCTGGCCTGGGCCTGTATGCTCTAGTGGTACAGTGGGCGAGGTTGCTCTGGGGTATGAGAAGCAGAAGGGGGGGGGGGAAGCGCTGCTGAGAAAAAGCTTCCAGGACTGACTCAAAAGAAGAAGACATTAGTAATAGCCCACAGACAGGGTGCTTCAAGGAGGACTGTCCATCACAACGACTGGCTTTGTTAACAACTTTAATGAAAATATGTTTAAACATTTTATGAGCCATCCAGAAGCATGTGCAAAACTGGAAAATCTCCAGACTGGGAGCTCCCCCCCCCCCAAGCCCCAACTCCTGAAATGTCAAAGCGACCAGGACAAATTAGAGGAAGATTGTGCCAGTAAGCAGAAAAGTGACAAATAAACTTAACACTGTAGTACAAGGTGACATACTTGAAGGCATCACCAGACTTTATGAGTCAAGAGGATAAGTCCTGCGCTCTCGGCCACAACCCAGAGTCAGCAGAGCACTCGAGATTCAGAATCTTTAACCTGGGGTCTAGGAACCAGCTCGTGATTTTGAGTTTGAGGGTTCCCTAAAATCAGGTGAAGGAGCATGAACAAAAGGGACAAAAAGATTCTCAGAGGTGAGATTTCTCTCAGAGTATCCTCCGATTCCACCTTGCTGAAGAAATTACCCTTGACATGCAAATGATGGAAACACATTCGCATCTGGGGCCTTGGTTTGTGGTTTTTACCATCAGATGTTCCTGTGGGTGAGCATGTCGAGCCTTCTCAGCGAAGCTTGCTGATTGCAAGCCTTCAGAGGAACGAGGCTATTTCCAGGGCTCCACACTCAAATGGGCAAGCTTTTCCAGTAGCTGAGGTTAATTCTCCATAAGGTGTTGCAGGCCAGGGTCTTAACGATTTGACCTTTATCCTCTTTAGATTCCCCCTAGGTAGCTACACTTCAAAGCAGAGCTTGCTAGTCATTCCCTCGGTCCCCTCCTTTCATCTCCAAATTAGTGCACAAAACCAAGCCACATGGAAAAACAACCAAAGCTGATCGACCATTTATTTATTAAACAGTTAATGGAAACCCTTGTCCAGGCTCAGAAGCCCCCTCAAGTGACGGGGGAATGTTGGGTAAAAATGATAGGTGGGTGGTGACGGCTAGGTGAATGGGCCGGGCCATCACTTTGATTTCCCGCCCCCACTCTACCATCTCCTCTGGTCTCGATATTAGATTTTATTTTCTTGCTTGAGCTTTAACTCCACAAGCCGCCACTACCCCACACTTCTGGTGTCTCAAGGCCCCCAGAGGTTCCTGCGCTTTCTGCCACCCTCACTCGGGGCTCCTGGTATGTGTCTGCAACCTCTCAGGCCAGCCTTGAGTTTAGGTCCCCTCTCGTTCCAGGTTCCCAGATCTCGCAAATCTCAAGTCTCCTAACCTAAACAACTCCTTACGGTGCTCCCCAAGTTGGCATAGCCGCACCCGGCCATAAAGGGAAGATCTGAGACTCCCCATTCAGTCTCTCCGGTCCTCTAGCTGAGCGGTCAGAGCAGATGGCGCGGAAATGCACGCAGGAGCTTGTCCTAATGTTCCCCAGATGCCTTTTCCCCATACCCGCCGCAACCGCGTTGGCCTCCTGATCCCTACTTCTGCTTCCCGGTCTGGGGAAGAGGGTCTGGGGGTGCCGCAGCCTGGGCCCCGGGCGCGCGCAGCCCCGCTCCTCCCCGCGCGGCCCCACTTGTGGCCTCGCCGGCAGCCGCGCAGGGACAGCTGCATTTCTCGCAGCCCGCCGCTAGGAAGCCGGCCTCGCCTCGCTTTCTCCGCCTCCCGGCGCCCAGCCGCGCCGCCGCGCCACCGAGCCGGGCCCGCAGCCGCCGCCACCGCCGCCACCGAGGGACCGCGCCCCTCCCCCGCCGCCTGGCCCCAGCGGCCCGCGGGAGCGGACGCGAGTGCGGTGCTCGGTAAGACCCCGATTCGCTCTCGACGCCCCTACCGCGAGCTCGTGGGCGCCGCTCTCCACCCCGGCCCGGCGGCCCCACCTTCCCCGGGAGCATCGCCGAGGCACGGCCGCCAGGGCCGGGCCGTCGCGAGTTTGAGTCCTCGCGCCGTGGCCACGGCTTCCCGGCAGCCCGCGCCTCCGCGGCAGATCCGGGTGGCCCTCTCTCCCCAGCTGCCCGCCTCGTCCTCCGGCCCTGGGCGCAGGGGGCGTGCGGCACCGGGGCCACAATCGGAGGGGTGGTCACCGGCCGGCGCCGCGGGGAAGGGACGCAAGGCCTGGGGAGCCTGCTCCTCCCGGGTCTCCGCTCCCCGGTCCCCGCTTTGTGTGGACACCCTCCCAGCTTCGGCCCGGCTGGGGGCGCAGGCTGAATGGCGATGGTGAAGCGGGGGCCCGGGCTGGGAGCTGAACTCCTTTTAGGGGGAGGGGAGGCTCGCTTCCTGCTCCCGCCGTGGTCACCGACCGGCTCAGCTTTTTCAGGTCCCACCCGGTCCCCTGGGAGCTGCATCTCTCCGCGACCCGGCTGGGGAAAGTTCAGAATGCACTGTCCCCGCCCCTGCTCCCCCGCCCCTCGGACTCTAAGTGCCTGGGGCTCTGAGCTCCAGGGGGCCGGGGCTTGCCTTTATTCCTCGGTTTTCTCCTTGAGTAATTGCCTTGCACCCCAGCACGGGCTTGTCTATCTTCTCCCCTTAAAAATAAAGTTTTAGCTCCAAGTAATTTATACTGCTATGAAATTCCAGGGGAGGGTGTTTTAAGGGAGAGAGATTTTAGATTTCCCGTATTTGTTTGTTTATTGTGAGATTGGAGGATGAGGGGATAATTGCAGTATAGTGAAGAGACACCCTAGGGAGGATGTTGGGGTAGAAGATCATGGGTCTTGATCTCCACCTGTTCCTCGGGCAGCCTGAAACCCGGGATATACGGGATATACACTTTTTCTCTTGCTTATCTTGCAATACCCTGAGCCACCTGGCCCAGGAGAAAAGGGTTCTGGGCGCTTCCTTCCACTCACCCCCTTCTTTATCGGCTGATGAAATTAGCCAGGCTGCTCGAAGGAGGTGACGAAGGAGGTGACGGCGGATACTAGTACTCTCCTTATGGATGTCATTTCATTGTGAAGTGTGGTCCCTGCTGGATCACATGTGAAGTGGCACCTTTGTGCCGCGGGCTTCGGCCCGCTAGAGGTTGTTGCATCCAATAGGGTTGGGTTGGAAATCCCCTGTCTGCTCTCTGCTGCTGCTGGAAAGAAAAAGGGGACAAGGAAACAGAGACTGGAGGGTGGGCCATACATAGCTCAGGGCTGGTGAGACAACAGCGGGGATGAGGGAGGGGGGAAACCAGGCCCATGAGTTAAACCAAGGGCCTCTTTGGGATCTGGCGAAAGCTATACCCTAACTGCACTTCCCAAACAGGCCCAGGTACTGGTGCATCCTCACGCACTGCCAGAGGGCTAATATACCCCCTTGGAACTAGGCTAGAGTTTGTGGTCTACTCCAGGCATTTTGGAACAGATTCCTTCTTTGTGCCTAGTTAGTAAATAATCCCAGGACGCCCAAAGCAGAACTCTTATGAGGTCCTTTCTCAAGCCGCTTTGAACTTGTGGCCATGGAGACCTGGAAGCTCTGGCCCAGCTCCCAGCTCCCTCCAGTTTGCTAGAGGACAGGGACAATGGAGGTGGCCATTCTTCCATGACAGACTTTGCTGTCTGTGAGGTGTGGAGACCCTCGGCACTGTGTTGGGGCACCAGGGCTATTGAATCAGAGGAAAACAAAGGACAAGTGTGGGGTGGGTGTAGGAGGCGAGTCTTTTGGGGACCCCTGTTCGCTTTAGGGACATGAGGTTGAAGAGCCTTATGGAGAGTGTTCAGTGTGCATGCTCCTTCTGGGGAAGCCTTGGAGCACATTTGCCCAGGAAAGCAATCTGGGTAGCTGCAGGGCCTTCCGTATACTGGACTTCAGAATGCAAGCGGAGACCAGACAGGCCACTGGGGCTCATCTCCTGTGCTGCCCCAAAGAGGGCAGCCCTGCTTTTCTTCTCTATGACTTCCTGGGCACCAGGGTGCCGGGTGGTGTTCATCTATACCTACTTGGGATCTGGGTGAGTCCAGGAGGGTCTTCCATGTCAGACTTACCTGCCTCAGTACTGAGAAGTTTTCCATTGGCTCACACCACCTCTGATGGACCAGAGCGATTGAATGGCCTTTTAATGATGCCACTAGCATTGTCTTTAAAACCAGTCATAAGCAATAAATGCAGCAACACTGCTTAGAAATGGAACTCCCACCACATAAAATTTGACAATGGCTTTTTTTTTTGTGTGTGTGTGGCAGCAAGGGTCTTCAGATTGTTCTTAGTGTGATAAGAAGTTCTGACTCCATAGACCTAGCCTGCACCCACCTCACTCCGTGCAACCCAGTGAGGAAAGTGTTTGGCATACAGCACCTCTTACATCTGTTTTTTTCCTTCAGAGTTCCCCAAAGTCACTCTGCTCTGTTACTAAGCAACAGAGCAGAGAATTTCCTAGAGCCTTGGGCACCAGGCTCACCTCTGACCAGGCCAGGTGAGTGGAGCAGGTGGTGCCTGTGGCTTGCTGGCTCCTGCCCATGTGACAAATAACTGTTGGGTCTGGAGCCCCAAAATGACTAAAGCCTAGCAGTCCCTGATATGGGAGTTGGAAGCCTCCTTGGTGGCATGCAAGGCTCTTGTGGCAGGGTTCACCTGCCCTTGTGGCCAGGATTTATCTTTCGGCTGAAGTTCTGGCTTCCAAATGTTGGTGAACTCAAGATGTTAGCTGCACTGGCTGCTCCGCTGTCCGATCCTCTTTGCTTCCAGCCTCCCAGAAATACCTCTCATGTGCAGGAACAGTGCAATAGATTCCTTCCTAAGAGAGCAGCTAAAGTTCTCGTCTTCACAAGAAGCCACGAGCTGGGATGTAGCTCAGTTCGTGGATGGCTAGAACACTTGTCTAGTTTGCACAAAGCCCAAGATTCAATCCCCAGCCCCTAAACTGGACACAGTGGCAGACGCCTGTCATCCAAGGCCTGGGGAGGAGGAGGCAAATGGAGCAGAAGTTCAAGGTCAACGTCATCACTGGCTACGAGGAGAGAGTATAAAACCCAGCCTGGGCTAGGTTAGACCCTGTCTCAAAAAAAAAAAAAAGATTAAAAAGTAAAATAAAACCATTCATAAACAATAGATGGAGTAATTGCTTGGGAACATAACTCCCCTCTTTAGAGCCTGTCCTGGAACTAGCTCTTGTAGACCAGGCTGGCCTCAAACTCACTGAGACCCACCTGCCTCTACCTCCCGAGTGCTGGGATTATAAGCGTGTGTGTGCCACCATCACCCGGCTTCATAACTCCCTTTTTGAGAAACACAGCCACCACTTTTCTACTGTTTCAAAGGTCTTTAGAAAGTTCTTGGTTGGATACCAGTGGTATTTATTTATTTATTTATTTATTCATTCATTCATTCATTCGTTTGTTTTTTCGAGATAGGGTTTCTCTGTGTAGCTTTGGAGCCTGTCCTAGAACTCTCTCTGTAGACCAGGCTCAGCTCAAAATCACAGAGATCTGCCTGCCTCTGCCTCCCTAGTGCTGGAATTAAAGGCATGCGCCACCACTGCCCCCACCGCCCCCACCACCACTGGGTCAGATACCAGTGTTTAACCTGAACTTCAGTAAGGAGTCAAGCCATTTTTTTTTGTTTGTTTGTTTTTCTTTGGATTTTCGAGACAGGGTTTCTCTGTAGTTTTTGGTGCCTGTCCTGGAACTAGCTCTTATAGACCAGGCTGGCCTCGAACTCACAGAGATCCGCCTGCCTCTGCCTCCCAAGTGCTGGGATTAAAGGTGTGTGCCACCAACGCCCGGCCAGTCAAGCCATTTTTATGCCCACTTCCACCAAAGCGTCTTTGTGGTTTGTTGGTTTTGTGGTACTGGAATTTGAATTCAGGACTTTGCCGGACGCTGTACCACTGAGCTCTGCCCCTAGCACTAGAGCTTACGGATCCCCAGCACTTACTTAGGCATTCCCAGAAGGCTCTGAATCTTCTTCTGAAGCCTTGTAAATGCTTCAGCATCTCATTCTTAGAAGGCATTGGAGGAGGTCTCACATATGCTCTAGGTTCCTTTCATAGAAACTGTTGCTATTATTTCTGAATGTGGGCTCCGCATTGTTACTAAGGAAAGAAACTTTGGTTAAAACTGTAGAGGCTGCGGCAGATGAGGCGTTGCCGGGAAGGGACAACGGTGGAGGTGTGGAGTTGCTGAAATGTCAGGGAGAGAGAGAACAGGTCAGTATTAGCCACTTTGCTGTGGAATCAGCTCTAACCTGTTCTCTCAGAGTTTGCCCTGT